AGATGTTACGACAGTCATAAGTGTGAAAAACCAACCGAATTAGGTGCCTTTTTTCAGTGCTGATCTCACTTCAAATGGTCAGTAAATGAACTGTCATAAGTCAAGGACTACCTCTATCTCCATGCGGGATGCTACGATGGTCGTAGGCGTGGAAACTATTCCTAAGTCCCTTTTTTTCAGTGCCGTTGTTAACTCCGGTCACTAAACGAAGGTTGGTCATAAGTCGAAGACGGCCTGCCGCAGAGCAAAGCATCTGGCGTAGCTGCTTGGGGCAAAGCCGAGGCCACCGGGCCGGTTCTGCCGGTTGCCGTTTTCCCCATCCTCCCCATTTCCGGCAGGGTCGCACCCTGGCAAGGCGGCACATCCGTGCCTCCCGTGCTCTGGGCAAAGATCCAGGCACACACCTGCCCCGGCGTGTCATCGGCACCTGGGTGGCCAGGTGAGGCAGGTCGTGACCTCATCGCTCGTGGCAGGATGTCCCCGGACAGGTGGAGGATGATGGAGAAAGGTTATTCCCCGGGGGGCCGGCCCATTCATTGTGCTCCGTTGAAAGGCAAAAGTAAAACCCTTCGAGCCTGAAGGATGTTTCACAGGTAGTCCTCGAGTTAGGACAGTTCTCCTAGTGACCGTTCCAAGTTACGACGGCACTGCAAAAAGGGACTAGTAGTGAGATACAAATGAGTTAACAACCGGTTCTCGGCCCCAAGGACCGGCTGCGGGAGCGTGGTGGCCATGGTGAACGTGACCAGGGCGCGTGACAGCCTCCCAGCAGCAAAAATGGGCCACGAGGGGGCCACGGGTCACCTTCCCGCACCCCGTTTTGGGCCTAGTAGGCCTTCCTGCAGCCCCCTGGGAGCCAGAATTGGCCACGGGAGGGCCACGCTTCACCCCCCCCCCAGTGCCCTGGGCCTAGTAGGCCTCCCTGCAACCCTAAAGAGAGGTACAGGGGGGTGAGGCACCCCCCCCACATGGCCCATTTGGACCTAGTAATCCTTGCAGAACCCTGGGAGCAAAAATGGACCACGTGAGGGCCACGACTCATCCCCCCACGCCCCGTTTTGGGCCTAGTAGGCCTCCCTGCAGCCTTCTGGGAGCAAAAATGGGCCACGTGAGGGCCACGTGTCACTCCCCCCATGCCCTGTTTTGGGCCTAGTAATCCTCCCTGCAGCCCCCTGGGGGCAAAAATGGGCCACGTGAGGGCCACGCCTCATCCCCCCACGCTCTG